AGAAATAACCGCCCATACCAAGGAAACAGATACAATAACCCACGGAATGAACAGGAATCTCGCGGTAACCGATACGGGAATGATAGACCAAAAGAGAACAGAAGAGAAATAAATAATATGCAAAGAGAAGAAAATGAATATGAGAGAGAAGATGACGGGCGAGAAAACACAGAAGAACAACAGGCGTGTTTTCAAGAAGGCGCTCACTAAAAACGAAGAAACAAACAGGAATTTTTTGTCACCCCAAGGAATTTATTAAACTGGCAGGAAACAATGAAAAGAGAAATGGAGTTAATTTAAAATTTGTGGATGGATTTATAAATGAGAAACCAATTAAAATTATGATAGACACAGGCTCTGAAATAACACTGGTCAACAGAAAATTAATCGAAGAAGTAAATTTAACAAGTCTAATTTATAAAATACCTAGGGTGAATTTAGTGGGCGCAAATAAACGGACATTGGCAACAATAAATGAAGGTATACGAGTAATGGTACGATTGAAAAAAAATATGTATGCACTTCAATGTGTAATAATGCCGAATATGTCACATGACATGATTGTAGGCGTTGACGAATTAACGGAAAAACATGTAGTGATCGACTTCAAAACCAATACGATGAAAATAACAAAGGAAAAAGAAGAAGAACAGGATAAGGAACAAGAGAAACAAATTACGGACGAATCAGAGAAAGAACAAACGGTGGAAATGAACCTGGTGACGAAGAAAGGAAAAGGAAGAAAGAGGGGAAAAGGTCAGAAAAAGATCAAAGAAAAAAAAACCTGGGATTCCTCAAAAGATGAGACGAGCTCAGGAGAAGAAGATGGAAAGATTTTGACAAGAAATGAAAGCAAAACTTGGGATTCCTCAAAAGAAGAGACGAGCCCAACAGAAGAAAAAACAAAGGAAAATGAAGAGGACACAATGGAGACAGTGGTGTTTGAAAAAGACACGGAGTACACGGTGAATATGTGCGAAGAATTTGATGGGAGAGACACAAAATGGATATGTGGAGAAGGCAAAGAAAATGATTTGCGTAAAATTTTAAGAGACTATGAAACGCTGATAAATAAGGAAAACCGAGTGGCCACAAATACGTAGCACAAGTACAGTTAGCATACAGGAAGTGCGTTTTAGTTTGTCTCGAGAAAATTTAGTTGCATAGATTGATAAATTTTATCGATTACAAAGGCGGGGATTTGTTGTATTTTTGAATGTCCACTAGCAATAAAAACCGATATACAAATTTTATTACTTAAATAAAAATTAAGATTATTGATATTTCATAAAGACACGGGCATATAAAGTTTCAAACATCCTGTATAAGACAAAATATGTATTTTAAGTTGTTCAAAGAATTGTTCATTAGGCCTCAGAGACAAGACTTTCAAATATTATCGATAAGAAATTTAAATAAGTCGGTTATTGTGAAATGGATTTACCCGTAATAAAAGTGTATATAGAAAGTGTTTAAACAATAGACCGGGATGTGCGGTGGTTTTTCCCCCCGAAAGATTATATCGGTAAAAGTTTATTAACAAAAGACATTGAATTGAGAAACAGGTATCGTTTGTAGCTATTAGTAAGAAATATTTGTAAAGCAGATAGATTTAGCTAGAATAATTAAAGAATGTTGTTTTCTGGAATTACCCGAATGACGTTTTATAGAGAGAGTTGGTTGGTAACAATATACGTGACAGAGGTAGAAGATTTTTATTGGTCAATTTTTGAATGCAAGGAGGGAGTGGTTTTAGCTATGAGATAGGAGAGAGGAAAGGAGTTAGTCAGTTTTCGTCGCCCAAGAAGGAAGGAGCTTTGTGGTTTGTGTTTGTTTGAAGTCCCGAAGACGTAATTTACCGGGTGTGTTTATTTGCGGTGTAAAAGCTGATGAGTGTGAGGAACGGGGTACAGAGAGATAGAAAAACCAAAAGGTTATAAGAATATTAATAGCAGACGAAGCCGGAAACATTTGAAGTTATAAACAGGCGCGGAGATTGGTTCAAAAGGAGGCTGCATAGAATTACACGAGTTGTTGGGTTGCAGATACAAGGACAGAGAGGAGAAAGGTGTACGTCTTCTGGACCAAAATAGGAGCAGAAGCAGAGAAAGGTTTTTTTTATGGCGTGGCCATAGAATTGCAACGGCAGATAACGAAAGGTCAGTCAATTTTCATTAGAGCAGGAGTGTGGTTTTCATTTATAAATTAAATAAATTGAATAAATTATAGAGACAGTTAATTTTGCGATCATTTAAAAAAGAAAAAATTATAAAGAGAGCTTAGTTATAACACATATTAAAAATCAATGTAAAATAACATTTGGGTCCATGATAGAAAACAACTTCTCATATATTTAAAGTATTGTATTGCAAATATTACCGGATTGATTGTTATATAAAATTTCAATAAAATAAAAGACATCTCACATATGCTTCAGTTGAAATTCTGTGTATTTTATTCAGGTCATATTACCTATCCCAATTAGGAAGCCAATTGGAAAATATTTTGAATCCACGATCAAAGGTAAATAGTACAAGTTAAATATCCTGAGATTGTAATTAATTAATGCTGATTTATTGTGATTAATTGGAGATTAGATCATTTAATAAATATAGACAGGATCTTTTCTAAATAAGCAATAGAATACAATTGAAATAGCATAACAATATATATATATATATATATATATATATATAATATATATATTATAGTATTATGTAATCTCCAAATCTAATTACGATTGTTTGCTTTCAACTGTACTGTACAGAAAAAACTAATAAAATGTCGACTGTTCTTCATCTTCTACGAAAATCGTATATATTTTAGTCAAATTAAACCGACACTAATACACCCTAATTAACATCAGATAACAATTTGCTTGTCAACAATTCTCTCTAAGTGAAAATTCAAGATTACTTCTTTAAATTTCGGGCAGATTCATCTGATAAACGCATTCCACCTTAGTAATTAGTTAAGACGAAATATGTCAGCAGAAAAACTTGCTCGAGATATTTAATTCAACCTCGTTCAGCGACTAGTGGAGAGGAGAGTGCGCCGGGTAGTTTTTCATTCAAAATATCAGTTGCGAAATTCTTCTGCTGCTGCCTGGTTAGAATGGCACTTCTCTTTAACTCATTGAATACTCACAATTTAAAACTGATTTATAATTAGATATTTCAAAAGGAGAATCTAAATAATTAATTTTTTTTTAATTTCCTGGAAAAAATAAACGCAATTGAATCTTGATAACTGGATAATATGCGGGAATATTATTATTTTTGCGGAAATTATTACAAATAGACTGTATGTTTTAAACATAACAATAACGTCACAAAATAAACATTAAAATTAACTTATAGGAGTACTATTAACAGTCAAAGCTCCGTAATCGGTATTATTTTAATTTTGCTAATTATTAATGCTTAAAATACACAATATTTTAATAGATAAATTAGCTTTTTATCAATACTGTTTTTTCTGCCTAAACAATATATCTTAAGCTTTCAATAATTTGATCAGTTTTATATAAGTTACTGCTTGACAAACCTGATCTAGTTCTGAGTCTAGAATACCTATCAAGACATAATAAATAAAATCAATGAAGCAGCTTACGAAGGGCTCGACATAATCCCAATGAACAAAAAGCATACTCCATTGCGGTGGATAAATGAAACTAAAAATGCAGCACATAGAAATATTACAAGTGGATGAAGAAAAATGGCCCAGGTGACTAGACCACATATGCAAGATTAAAAAGAGAAATAAAAAAGTTCGTAGCTAAAACAAACAATACTTCCTGGAAAAGTAAATGTGAAGAGCTCAATAAATATATTATAGAATCAGCAAGATCAAGAGAAGCATGGAAAATGGTTCTTGACTGGAAGATCACTCAGAACTTCTGACTGAAACAAAACCGTAATTCAGGAACACCATTATAACGACATTTGAACTAGAATACGATGATGACGGCGAAATAACAGTACAGGAAATCAAAGTTGTAATAATAATTCTATAAATTGGAAAAGCATGTGTACTATAAGGTCAGCATCATCAATTAGCCTATATTTGTCCACTGCTGAACGTAGGCCTCCCGTAAAATTTTCCACCTATTTCTATTTTGAGCTTCTTGCATCCAGTTTGTGGTGATGCGCTTGATATCATCCGTCCATCTAGTCGGTGGTCGTCCTCTGCTTCGATATGCATCTTGCCTTGGTCGCCATTCCAGAATCTTTCTGGTCCATCTATCATCCGTTAATCTGGCAACATGTCCGGCTCAAGCCCATTTAGCCATGGCTATTTTTTCAACTGCATCTGTGACTCCTGGTCTTTTTCTCTCCAAGGTTTGGTACTTTATCTCTGATGGTAATACCTAATATTGATCTTTCCATAACTCTTGATTTGATTTATTGTTCTTTTTGTCAGAGTCAGTGTTTCTGCACCACATGTAAGAACCGGTAAAATCGCACTGGTAGTGGTACTATAAGGTATATCGAACAAATTACTAAAATAGAGCCCACAAGCATTACAGTATTTACTAACATGTTTTCTCCTTATTCTAAAAATGTCATGGATACCACCGGATTGGACAAAAGCACATAAATTCTTTCAAACAATAAAGAGCTAAGTGTACATAAATTCTCAAGCCTACGGAAAAATAATAAAAAAAAAAAAAAAATACGAAGAAATAATAGACAACACGTTTTCCCATTGCTCATATTGCTTCAAAGTCAGCTGACTTCAGTCCAAGTCCAAGTCAGAATATTTTAAAATTTAATGTTTTAAATATGTAATATAAAGGTCATTATTTATTCTCGTTTTGTGGTAGTATGTAGTTTCAACTACTCTTTAGTTTCAGTTGTCTTTCAACAACTAACTGAGCAACAAAACGTTTTAATTTTTAGTCCTTTTTTGGATAATTTAAATTTTTTAAAAATAATATATACCATTTATATATACATATGTAAATATAACATTTTTTAACTATTATTCATTTTTTTAAGATCCCCAACCAGGTGTGGATGACGATGACTCCCAAGAGGCAGGTAGTTCGAGGGCTCAGTATGTATCTGCAAATTGCGTGGTGTTTACTCATTACCAGGGTGATGCAGCCTCCGTAGTAGACGAGCATTTTTCTAGGGCGTTAGATAAGACTTCAACACATACCAAGGGTAAGTAACAGTTTATTAAAATATTAGTAAAAATGAGCTCGTCTTTATTTACATGAATATCAATACACATTAATATTCCAAGCCTTATATTTTTATTTCTGTCTCTAGCGGTATTTGATCGGATCAGTTTTATAGAGTTTTTTGAACCATACCTAGTATATTTAGACACACAGAACCGTGAAGAGTGGCGAAAAATTGAAGAGACCTATGTCCATCAGTGGACAGAAGAGGTTGCATGATGATGATGAGTATATTTAATATAAATCAGTATTTCTTGGGTTTAGCGTCGATAATCAAGGTAATCGTTTCTGTCAAGATTCAAACTGTACAAGACGTACCGTTAGTATTAAATAGGCACAGTCTAGAAAATCGTTATGGTTACTTTATGTTCACCTGCATGCTCACAAACCTTCATTAAAAGGTTTAGAACGCAAGTTCCAATCTCCACTGCACCTCTTTTTTCTTGGGTCTCATCTCAGAAATAGCAATGCACCTTTTAACTCTTCATTCTCTGGTAATTATTTATGGTAGTATTGTGTAATTTGGATTAATTATAAAAAGATGATGTTTCTCCATTGGGACTTTGCATTATAGCTTGAACATCGTAGCAAACGCATAAATTACATTTGTCAAGAGTCATTCTATCATTCTTTTTTTCTGTTCGGCTTAATTCCTTTTCTTGTAGGTGAGTATTATATTTGACTTTGAGAGCCAGCCTCTGATTATCAGAAGAGTTCTTGTACTGTAAACAAAGATCACATTGATCTTTCTTGGATTGAAAGATTCGCAAATTAACATGAGTAGTAAAAGTCTCATAAAATAAATGAAACTTTCCAGGATCTCTAGAATTATCCTTCTGTTGTTCTTGAAAGTCTCTAAACAAGTCAGTAATACTTTTTGATCCACTTATGAACCCTCTTGAAGTCGACGCACTTAAATAATGTGATTACATTCGTGGTATTAGATTGATAAAGCTAATGATATCTTCTTTAAGATTTTCATCCACGCGTCTATAACCATTATATTTGCCTCTTCTATCTTCTTCAACAGAATTACAATTATTAGTCTAATATCTTACTGTGTGAAATCATATTTTACTTATTATTCCAACGTATTGATAAAATATACTTTGCAAACTCTGATCTTGGCATTATCATCGTACATGTAGAAAGCAGCATTTGGTGCTCTGGGATGTTGAGCGTTCTTAGATTTAGTTGAACCTAAATACTTATATTTAGGTTCAACTATACCCATTCTTGCTTTTATAAACATATGCTGCAACTGTAAATCTCCTAGTGCCCAAAAACATTTGAAATGTTCAAGTTTTTTAGCCTCATCAAAATTTTTGCTGCACTTCACTCTGCATTTCTGATTTCACGGGCTCTTCATTTAGCGCACAGGAACAACGTTTTTAGTCTTGATAGAAATGTATTGTTCTCCTGCATTTCGTTTTATCTTTTGGTTATTTTGCTTCCACTTTGTAGGATCAGTTTTACGTTTCCTCGAACTCTTAGGCGATGTTGCAATAACTTCATCAGTACCATCATCAGATGAAATTGTAGATGAGCTTGGCGAACGTTGTCTACCTTGATGTTCATTATAAGTGGAATCATTGCCACTAATATCAACATCACTTCTTCTGAATTTATTGGCGATATACGGTAATGTACAGCTAAAATTCGTGATGTTAAAATTACGAGTTCTAGTATTAAAGGCTGGTAGGCTAAAGTAGTTCTAGATGGTAAAAGTAGAGGCTGGTCTTCAATTTCTTTACCTTTTTGTATATGGGAAAGATATTGTCCTTGCTCCCGTGAACAACTTCGAGCGCAAGAGTTGCTGTTAGAAATGACGAACTGCTACTGTTGTCATCATCATCAACTAGCCTCTAACATTTACTGCTGAACATAGGCCTCTCGCATGCTTTTCACTTAGTCCGATTTTGCACCATCTGAATCCAATTTGTAGTCACTCTTTTTATGCCATCTGTCCATCTCGTTGGGGGTCGACCTCTATTTCTGTAAGCTTATATTCGAGGTCTCCATTCCAAAATTTTTTTTGTCCACCGGTCATCAACTGGTCTTGCTACATGGCCTGCCCAGTTCCACTTTAGTGTTGTTATCCTTTCAATAATTGGGTATTCTATCACGTAGAGAAATCCCTAACATAATTCTCTCCATTTGTACTCGATATGTAATACTCGACGTACATTTTGAGGTTGTTTTTAGTAACAGTGTCAGTTTCAACCAAATAATTATTTTGTGATAACAAAGTATAATCGGCTATTTCCTGTTGCTTTAAAAAGTTTTCTGATGAACTTAAAGTTATGTTCTCCTTTTCATCATTGCTTATCAAAAAATACATAATTATAGGAACTTATGTTTATATATTAGTAAATTATAAACTTATGTTTAGGTTCTTATCGTAACTGTTTTCCCGTTCATCAGGTGGGTGTGAAACATTAAGAAGGTTCATGATTTTTCGCGTTCGTGACATCTTTATATGACGAAATAATTAAGGCTTCAGTAGCGAAAGACTTTGTAGTTTATGGACACAACTAAAAATCACAATGAACATAACTCGTTGAATTAGATTAGTATTACAAGGTTTTAACTTTTAATGATATTGTAAATCAATCAGATATTTTTGTAATAACAAAACTTCTTTAGATATAGTTCCAAAAATCATATAATAATTTCAGTAATATAAAGAACTTATTTTAAATAAACCCCTAAATTTTCTGAAGTTTTAGTAATATATAGCATTTAGTGTTAATATGCGTTTATAATACAAAAAAATATAAAAGCACACTTACCTCCGGTTTTGTAGTAGAAGGGCTCAACTCAAACTAGGAACACTCACTAACACACCCGCTTAAACAAGTATCGGCACCTTACTAAATGGGCATCTCTCATGGGAAGATTTAGGGGAGGAGAGTAGAGTTCGAAAGGGTCACATTATAACGGGACTTGCTAGATATTATCCGTTTTAATTTTCTGTCAAGGTCAAGTTGTAGTAGTAGTTTTGTGCCCATTTATACCAAAATAACTTATCAATTGATCTCAACCAGAAGGCGATAAGAAGGCGTATGTATCTTATTATCCTGATGAAATGGTATGATTGAATTATTTTGTAGTAAAAATTAAATGCTCGTCTTATAAAAAATATTACTCTAGCTTCCCATAAAATGGTAATCTTGAGATGGTATAATTAAATAGCGAAACAAACTCGTCTCTTCAACAAAAACATACAATTAATCTTTGTTGTAATTAATACCAAAACTCTATTCACATATACTTTACCTTCTAAAAGATCTCCGACTCCTTTTATTCTTAAGCCCGCGATCAGTATACGAGTTCCGGGTTCCGAGAACTTTATAAACATTACAAATTACAAGCGGTGCGGTAATGTGATTAAAGCAACTTGAAGAAAAAATTATAGGAAAGATAGAGACCTGAAGAAGTAGCCGCTGCCTGGAGTAATTTAAGCCTGATAGCCATCTCTCGAGACCAACGTATCCAAAGAGCGAGAGAGATGCCTGGAAATATTTTTACTTTCTGATGGATTTATGAAAGTAATTACGTTAGTGAAATGACATAAATAAAGAATGATTTATTGAATATGAAGAAAGAAACATAGTCGCGCTCTAAACAATGTAACAGGGTCATATATAGAAAGTAAAAGTTATTTAAACGGTGGACCAATGTAGACATATTTTTGATTCTTATACATCAAGCGAATAAGTAATTTTTTATAAAATTATTTTTCAACAAAGTTTTTTTTTATAAAATTCAGCTATGCATTTAACTTCCTATTAAACCTTTTTTAGAAATTAGTAGTTTGACTATTTTAGATTGTTCTGTTGAATGTGGGAATGTATTCAGCACCATTTATGAGATTAATTACTATTTAACTTATTCTTATGGCTTATTCCCAGTTAAATAGTAATTAATTTACAATGCCCACAAGAAAATAGCTTCAGAACATTTATGAGATGGATCGACATCTAATGTGGAGAACAGAAATAGAAGCATATTAGAATTAAAACTCCTTACCGCTATGTAAAAGTAATTGTAGAAGCTGTTCAATGTTTGTCAAATAGCCTCAACATTTTAATTATACGTTTCTTGTGACATGTTTATCATTATTTTGGCTTTACAACTCTGTGTGGATCCTAGCCTCCCAAGAATTTTTTTCCAGGCGTCCCTATCCATCTATTTACATATTTCTCATATCTTGGTCTATGTTATCTAGGAATCTTCTTCTGGGTCTTCCTCTTCTTCTTTGACCAATAGGTCTATCAAGGAGCGTTTTTCTAGCTGGGTCGGTTTGCTCCATCCGCATTACATCGCCTACCCACCTCAGACGTCCTATCTTAATATGTTTTACGATATCTGGTTCCTGGTATATTCTATAGAGTTCGAAGTTGTATCGTCTTCTCCAGAAACCATTTTCATTTACCGCTCTATAGATTCGCCTTAGTATTTTTCTTTCTAAACATCCTAACATGTTTTCATTGCTTTTTGTTAAAGTCCAGGTTTCTGAAGTATATGTTAGGACTGGGCGTATTATTGTGAGATGTTTAAGTAAATATTATATTTGTTGTATTACGAATTATGAATGTTCTTGGGAAAAATACTTTTTTAAAAACTGAATTCACAATTAAAACTTATATTTTCGGCTGACAAAGATTTAAGTAACAACAACAATAAATTAAATCAAACTGAAAATATTGATTTTTACATGGTGTTTTTATAATTTTATAATTGCTGATCTTGCTGTCCCATACGTCCGATTCAGTCCAGAATGTTCTAGCGGTAGCCCCGTATTGATTCCACTTGGTAGAATTCACTGGATGGTAGCGGTCATTGTACTGTAACTTAAGGGATTAAGGCACAATTGAGCATCTTATTTGACAATTGACTTATTTGGCCCCGACCGTAAAGATAAAATAGCTATGGTGTGCTATTAAGGTCATCTACATATGCAAAATTATTACAGTA